AAAACTAGCCTTCTCCTTTCATGAAAAGTTGCGACTTTTATTAAAAGTTGTGACTTTTTTGAAGAGTTATAACTTTTATGAAGAGTTGCTACTTTTATGAATAGTTGTAACTTTTATGAAAGGTTGCGACCTTTCCGAAGGGTTGTAAATTTTCCAAAGAGTTGTGACCTTTTCGATAAGGCACAATAAGAATTTTTTCACACCACCCTTTATATTCTATAAATAGAGGGATTTCCTCTCATTTTAAAACAATGAAAATTATAAACTTCTTCTTCTTTTGCACAATTAAATATTGTGTACTTTGCTCCTGTTGAGTGGCTCACTGACACCATTTTTTTTTGCATCAATACACTGCTGAATAGAATCGTTCTATCGTGCGAGGATCTATTACTTTAAACCTCGGGTACTAGGGGGGGAATAATTTCCTCGGGTACACGTTAATTGAGTAATCACACAAGTTTTCTCTATTGAAATTGTTGAAGGTACGATAAAAAATTCCTTTAAGATCTATACTCCCATCTCTTGAAGACAAAATTCAAATTTGTTTTCTATAGTCATTAATTTATGCTTATATTATTAATTATTGTTTTTTAGTACATGCTTTAAGCTTGTTTATATTTCTACAAAGTTATTGTTATAAGTATTTGTTAGTACATATTAAATCACACACGTTAATTGAGTATTTATGAAAGTTTTTCCTACTGGAATTATTGAAGGTACAATACAAAAATCTCTTAAACATATCTAATTTCTTCATCAGCAATGTCATTCCTTCACATATAAGGATGAATTATTTTGTTCTTTAGAAAATCCTCTGAGAGTTAATGACGTTGCATTCCCATATTTTTTGGTTTTTATATTGTTGTTATCTATTTTAACTAAATTTTATCAGTGGATATTATGAGTACTTTAAGGATTGAAAGTTGATTAAAGTGTTGGTCAATTTTTTGAGGTATGTTATTTCAAAACATAGAAACTTTTCTAGTTAGAATGATTTGTTATCATCATAAGATATCTCAGAGTTTATGTCACACCCTGAAGCTACCCCCAGGACGCGGACACGGGACCTAGGATCACAAGTTACCCAAGCTAACTCTGTTGGCATATCATAAGCATACTAAATAAACTGAAGTAAGAAAAGACTGTGCGGAAGCTAAATCATAAGATAAACTAAAATGAAATGATGGGGAATACACATAACTATATGAATATATATAAAAATTGAGATTTTAACAACAACTGAAAGGTCAAACTCAAATGCTAAAGCTGAAACTAACTATGTTTTAAATAAGCCTCTAATTGACTAGAAATGCTGGGACATTCCCCAGCTAAATCTAGCAAAATTGAAACTAAAGACTAAAAGCAAAAGAAACATGTATGTCATCCTCGGAGAATGAGGACTCACTACTGATACTGTTGAGTTGAAGATCGGGAATCGATTTATGCGTGATCTGAAAGTTGAAGACCAGAACCTACATCACGGGAAGATATAGCGCAGAGCATGCGTCAATACTTGAAAGGTACTGAGCATGCAGGATAGAGTAAAGTTGAACAATATACATAACTGAACAAAGCATATAACTGAGTAATGACATGAGATAAGCATGATACTATACTAAAAATACTGAACATGAACTAACTGAATGCAACGACCAAGTTTATAACATGCTGAGAGTGAAATCTGACTGTAAATGATAGCATGGTTAATGCAATAGAATCTGACTGTGGGAGCTACTAATAACCGACATAAAACCACATGAGCTAATATGGAGTCCGATGTATACTCCCCATCGAGAGGACCCAATATACCTTGCCCGAGGTATAGAGGAATGACTGGCATGATAACTAAAATGTAAAGCCCTCAGAGGGGACTTATAAACCTATGGGAGCATGTAGTTCTGAGACTATTCGGGTACGCTGAACCCTAGTCCACTCGGTCTAAGCCTACTCCCAATTAGAATGTATATAAGCAATATTATGACTAAGATGCTGAAGTACTGGATAGTTCAATTACTGACATGTAAACTCTGGGAATGCAACAATTATAACTGATAATGTGACATTCGTAAACTAAAGCATATATTTGAAATAACTGACCTAACATGTGTAATTCATGACCTAAAAGAACTACATAGCTAGGGTTCTGAATATCATACAAGAAACTAAGCAACAATATGATAATTTGATTTGGATCATTCTAACAGCTAAAACCCAACAATTTCTAACATTCAAGAAACCCTAGGATTAGATAATATTAAGGGAATCAAGATTCTAACTGAAATCTAGGGACCTAATGGGTGAAAGGAACCCACTAGTGAAATCCCACATATCTAGTGACGAATTTCACGGAGGAATCTTTCAATTTCGGGGTTGGAACTGATGAAAACTCACTGCGTTCTTAAACTAGGGCTGCTCGATTTTCTCCTCTGTTTTGCTCTAAGATTCACTTGATTTTGGTGAATAATTGATTAGGTTAGGTTCTGATTAGTTTACTAGGCTAAAACTGACCAAAAACCATGTAATTTAGGGGTTAAACGATGTAGTTTAGTGGTCCAACGCATAGGGAAAAGACTAAACGACCCTTGACTTAAAAGTTGTAGGGGCCACCGACGGAACTGATCGACGGACCATGGATGGACCAACAGTCCGTGCTGGGCAACCGTCGACGGGGTTCTAGAACTAAGTTCTGGGGCCTTGATCCACGGACCTAGACCACGGTCCATGGGTCGTTCTTTAGAATAATTTCTGGACCTTTTCTGGGAGGGGGTTGCAGGTGGTGAACCACGGACCACCAGGATGGACCGTGGGTCACTTTACGATGCGTGGGTGGCAACCGTGGGTTGCACCTGCAACTTCTGGAAAATCTGCTTGTTTGGTCTGTTTAGGATACAGGGTATTTCATTATCTCCCCCTTGGGAACATTCGTCCTCGAATGAAGACTAAACTAGTTGAATATGAAGGGGAAGAGTTGCAACCCTACCACTAAAATACTTGAAACTCATTTCTGACTGAACTAAGTTCCAAGAACATGCAAATACGCTAAAAATGCAAGTACAAACTGAAGGAACATGATACTAAGACTGAAACTACATATGAGTAACTGAAAGACTAGAGAGGAACTATTACCTCTAGCTGGAATGGAATCGAAAGGAAAGAGATGAGGATACTTGGCCTTCATGGCTGCTTCTGCTTCCCAAGTAGCTCTCTCTACAGATTGACTCCTCCACAAAACCATCACTGAAGCGAATTCTTTGTTTCTCAACCTTCGAACCTGACTATCAAGAATCTCAACTGGAACATCCTCATAAGTGAAACTATCCTTCACAGCCACACTTTCTAAAGGTACTATAGATGCTGGAACACCCACACACTTCTTCAATAACGAAATGTGAAAGACCGAATGCACTGCTGCTAGTTCTACTTGTAACTCTAACTCGTAAGCCATTTTTCCAACCCTTTTCAAGATCTTGTTAGGGCCTATATATCTAGGACTGAGCTTCTCTTTCTTGCCAAATCTCATCACCCTTTTCATAGGTGACACTTTCAGGAAAACCCAATCATCAACTTGGAACTCCAAGTCCCTTTCTCCTTACATCTGCATAGGATTTATGGCGACTCTGGGCTGTCTTAAGTCTATCTCTAATGAGATGAACTTTTTCCATGGCATCATGAATCGAATCTGGCTCTATCAAGGCTGTTTCACCTACTTCAAACCAACCAACAAAAGATCTACATCTACGCCTATACAATGCCTCATAAGGGGCCATTTGAATACTAGAATGTTAGCTATTATTGTAGGCAAACTCTATAAGAGGAAGGTGATCACTACAAGAAATTATGAAATTAGCAACAACTTTTTTGCAACAACTATATTATTGTTGGCTTATATTTTGATAAATCGCAACAACTTGATTTAATTGTTGGTATATCTTTTGATTTTTAACAACAATATTTTTGTTGTTGCCAAATATGTTACTATTGTTGCGATATTATATTGTTAATAATAATTAATATAATACATTTCAAATATTAAAAAATTGCAACTACGTTTTTGCAACAATAATGATATTGTTGCCCAACTTTAATAATGGCAACAATTTAATTAATTTGTTGCTATCTTAAAAAATATTTGGCAACAATAATTTTTTTATTGTTGCTAATGTATTTAATTTCACAATAACTTATACATTGTGGCAAAAATTATATTTGTTTTTTTAGTTTTCCGCCAATACAATTGCGGGTTTTTTTTGTTTCCGCCAATTTTTTTTTAGAAGTTCACCAAATTTTATTTTTATTTTCCACACAGTTGCGCCTCTTCATCAGATTTGGGGAAAATGTAAACTAGGTTTATTTCTTTGTTCAAGTGTTTCGCTGAAGATCAGTGTTCTAAAGTCTATCTCCGGTGAGTTCTCTTTATGATTTAGTTTCTTTTCACAAAGTTCGGTGAATTCTTGCATATGATTATCTTATGATTCAATCTCCTAGGTTATTTTGTAAAATCCAATAGCTTTGTTAAAGTTCAATTGTTTTGATTTAGTCACTTTGGTGAGATCAGTGCGATGGGATTGTATTCCTCTGTAGAAATTATCTGGGTTTGAAGAGACAGGGAAGAAAATTGTTGAGGAATGCTAGGGATTGCCCGCTGCTTGCTATACCGGATGTTGTCTCCATGTCGCGCTTTCTTCTTTTCAATTATCTAGTAAAGGTTTTTCTGGCACTATAGACTAACTTTGGTTAGTGGTACGTTTTGAGCAGCAGATGCTACCTCAAAGAATGGACTCAGGAGGTCCTTATCATCTTCTGCACTGTTCAAGTCTTGGTGACAAATAGGGAGTGATGCAAGAGCTTGAGAAAGGAGTGGAACCCATTGCTAAATTAGTATATGCTACATTACTACTTAAATTTCTTTCACTCTCACTATACATCTTTGCCTCTTCCTCGATCTATTCTTCTTTTATCGACATACTAAGTTATTAATTTGTACCATATTTAACAGAATGGCCTTCCTGCTTCGATTTTCAATATCATTACAACTTCAACTAATTCAAATGAGACAAGTTCTGCAAGTCTAATGAATAACAATTGGGTAAGTATATGTCTCATATCTATTTTTTCTATTCTCAAGGGTAAAAATTTAGACTTGCATTGGCTGCTGTTAGGCGTGCTTGATATGATCCTCTGAACACGACCTCTTGGATTATTTTCCTGATTACCTTTTGGGGAACCCTTGTTAATGTGAATCAGTTTCCACCAGTCTACCACTTGGAAATTACCTCTCAATCACACATACATCTCTGTAATGGAAAATGCATCCATTGTTGTAAGCTCCACCTCCCTTATGTCCGCTTTCTCCAGATACTTCTTTGCTTGAAAAATCTTCTGCACCACCTATGAAGCCTGTTTTGGCGTGCATTTCCAGATAAAATTGCCCTTTCTGTAATGGAAGTGGACCCACTTGACCCATAACTTATCTTTTTCATAGCACAAATTTCATAGCAACTTGCATATAGCTATCTTATTCCAATAGGCTACATCTAGGATGTTTAGTCCTCCTGCCTCTCTAGGTAAGCAAACTCTAATTACTATTATTATTACATGTTGAACTAGTGCTATTGTCGGGTATTGCTCATTGATCTCAAAACATATGTTGTTAGTTTGTTCGAGCATCACATCTGGTAATTAGATGAAAATAGTATATGTTGCTGAAAATTTGTTTTTGTTTACAAGTATATGTTGTTGGTAATTAGATGAAAATAGAGATTGTTCTTTATTGTTAACATTGACTTGCTATATTATTATTGTAATATATTTTTCTTCTCCTTATGTGTTGTATCTCTATGCATATCCATCTATCATTTTAATTACAACAGAAAAACACAATATGTAATAAACGTATTTTAGATATATATTTACTTCAAGCTTATAATCTTTGTATTGATGAGCAGTTGCAAGAAGATTTACATGGAAAGCAAAACCAAGAATCACAGATGCAAAAAGAATTGGATAACTTGAAAGATATCTTGACTTTTGAGAAGCAAAACTTAGAAATGGTTATTTATGATTGTGATAAATTCAGTTCGTTGTGCAATGAAAAAGATATAGAGCTTAAGGTATTTTTTAATGTTATTAAATTTGATTTATTAAGGGGACAATCATTCATTTTATTACTCCATTCCTTGTAGGCTGCCCTATCAGAGAAGCGAAGCTTAGAAATGCGGCTTCCAAAGTTGAGTTCTCAAGGTTCAAAGAAAACTATTCCGAAAGAGTTGGTTGACGCAAATAATCAGGTAAAGCTATAAAATATTATTTGGCCTTTATATTTTGTCCAGATTAGTATCCATAAAACAGAAACTCATGTGACTTCTCAAATTGCAGGTCTTTGAAAAGATCCATGAAGAGTTGAAAGCTTGTTCTATGTTGTGTACCGCAGAAGAAACAAAAAAGAGGCTTTTGAGTGAAAAATCATCACTTGAGGCAAAAATTGTAGAGCTGGAAAAGAAGAAATCAAGTGAGGTATGTTGCCTAAATATCTCTTGTTTTGCATTTTCAGCTCGAAGAGTTGTGAATCTGAGTCATACTGGTATTAGAGCACTACCTTCTTCCATCAATAGTTTATTTCACAAAATTATTCCAGGAGATTAAGATTACATTTTACTTCCTTTTGTTTTTGTGACATTCTTGGGGTTGAAAGAAGTGAACAGATGATCCTTTGCCAAATCTGGAACATCTCACTCTTTCTTTTGTACATAATTTATAGTGTCTCTGATTTTGATCATTTTCAAATGAAATAAGGAGATTTATCAGGAGGGTTAAACTGTGTTTGGGTGTATTAGTGAGTGCATTCATGTGAATATCTCTGCTTTTTAGATTTATATTTGTGTATTTTATAACTTACTTTGTCAATTATAATTATATTTATCTTTTATTTGCAAGATGAACATGCATAATTGAACCATTGCTTCAATACAAGTACTATTGGAAGATCGGACTATTCAAAAGTTATAACTAGTAGGATTAGAATATAATTAATGACTTACTTATTATTTTTTCTTACAAGTACAAACATATGTAGAAGTATTTAGTTCTTTGGAATATCAATCTTATATTGACCTTTGCAAATTTATATAATTCTTAGTATAAATATTTGTGAAAAATTTCTAAAAGAAAAGTGTATTGTGTATATAGTAGCTATTCACAAATTGTTGCTTAAAGTGTAGAAATATTTGTATAAAATTTCTAAAAGGAAAATGTGTATTATGTATGTAGCAACAACTCACAAATTGTTGCTAAAGGTATATAATAAATATGTTTATTGCAATAAAATTTATTGTTGATAAAAGCCTTCCCAACAAATTACTAGCTAATTTTTTGTCAATTTTTTACAACTGATATTGTTGGTAAAAAGTTAATTTGTGGCAACACTAAATTTTGTTGCGAAATTTTTATAAGCCACAACTATATTAATGTAAAGCAACAATTATTTTGGTTGCAATAAGTTAGTTTTGGCATCAATATATTTTGTTGTTGCAAAAAAAAATTGCATCAACGTTTATTGCAACAACATGCAACAACTTTTATATTGTTGCCAAAAGTACTTTTTGCAACAACATCCTATATATAGCAACAAAACTAATGGGAAATGCCTTTTTTCTTGTAGTGTGATCATCCCAACTACCCATGAAATCGGTCACGCAAGCTCTCAACATGTCCTCTATGGTCTGAATGGTACACTCTGCCTGACCATCCATCTGTGGATGAAATGCGGTGCTAAGATTAACCTGAGTACCAAGACCTTTCTGAAATGACTTCCAGAAATGAGAGGTAAACTGAGGACCTCTATCTAAAATGATAGACAAAGGAACCCCGTGCAACCTAACTATCTCATTAATGTAAAGTTTGGCATAGTACTCCGTCGAATCTGTAGTCTTAACAACCAAAAAGCGCGCAGACTTAGTAACTCTGTCAACTATCACCCAAATGGAATCATGTTGTTTGCGAGTATGAGGTAAACCTGTAATGAAGTCCATGTTGATCACTTCTCACTTCTAACTAGGAATGTTTATCTTTTGAGTCATACCTCCATTTTTCTGATGTTCTACCTTCACTTGCTGGCAATTAGGGCACTTAGCCACAAAATCCGCTATATCCCTTTTCATACCATTCCACCAAAAGACTTCCCGCAGATTGCGGTACATCTTAGTGGTGCCTGGATGAATAGAATACCTGGAGTTATGGACTTCTGCAAGAATCTGTTGTCTCAACTCACCCACCTTAGGAACATATAATCGACCTTGATAGTGAAGCATACAAATCTCCCCCTTGGGAGAAAACCTCAACTCTCTACTGATGGATTGCACTCTTTAGTTGAAGCAATATAGGATCACTGTCTTGTTTTTCCTTAACCTCCGCTACCAATGAAGATTCTGACCTATTTTGAACTATTACACCACCATCTGATATGCTCATAAGGTGATCCCCTAAACGAGCAAGCATGTGAACATCTTTTTCTAGTTCCTTTTTTTCTTCCTCACCATGTGCTACACTACCCATAGATAGTCTCCTAAGGGAATCTGCTACTACATTGGCCTTACCAAGATGGTAATGAACACTCATATCATAATCCTTGAGGAACTCAAGCCATCTCATCTAGCAAAGATTCAACTCTTTCTGGGTGAACACATACTGAAGGCTCTTGTGGTTTGTGAACACATCTACGTGAACACCATACAAGTAATGTCTCCAAATCTTAAGTGCAAACACCACTGCTGCAAGCTTGAGGTCATGAGTTGGATAATTCTTCTCATGCACCTTAAGCTTTCTAGAACATAAGTCATGACCTTACCTCGCTGCATCAACACACAACCTAGGCCAACTCTGGATGCATCACAATAGATCACATAATCGTCTGAACCCTCTGGTAGAGTCAAAAATAGGAGTTGTAGTCAACCTAGTTTTCAGTTCTGCGAAGCTTTTCTCACAATCATCTGACCACTGGAACTTAACCTTTTTCTGAGTTAACTTAGTTAATGGAGAAGTTATGGATGAAAATCCCTCCATGAACCTTTTGAAGTAACCAGCCAAACCCAAGAAAATTTTGATATCGAAAGGAGAGATAGGTCTGTGCCATTGTTTCACTGCTTCTATTTTCTGAGAATCCACTCGGATCCCTTTGCTAGACACAATATGCCCAAGAAAAGCAACAGACTGCAACCAAAACTCATTCCTAGAGTAAATGAGGATATCATCAATAAAGACGATAACGAACAAGTCCAAATACTACTTGAACACTCTGTTCATCAAATCCATGAAAGCTGCAGGAGTATTGGTTAATCTAAATGACATAACTACAATTTCATAATGACCATACCGTGTTCTGAAGGCGGTTTTCGAGATATCACTATCTCTGACTATGAGCTGATGATAACCGAATCTAAGATCTATCTTCGAGAGATGACTAGCACCCTGAAGTTGGTCGAACAAGCCATCAATCCTGGGGATAGGGTACTTATTCTTGATTGTGACTTTGTTCAACTGCCGATAGTCAATGCACATTCTGAGAGAACCATCTTTCTTTTTCATGAACAACACTGGTGCACCCATAGGGAACTACTAGGTCTAATAAAGCCCTTATCTAGAAGGTCTTTCAAGTGCTCTTTCAATTCCTTAAGCTCAATTGGAGCCATTCTGTAAGGAGGAATAGAAATAGGTTGGGTATCAGGAAGAAGATCAATTCCAAAGTCGATCTCCCTTTCGGGAGGAACTCCGGGAAGATCTTCTGGAAACACTTCTGGAAAATTATTAACTACTGGAACTAACTCGAGAGTTGGGGTTTCAGAGGTTGAATCCTTAACCCGAACTAGATGATAGAGATAACCCTTAGAGATCATCTTTTGGCCTTAAGGTAAGAAATAAATTGACCCATAGGCGCTAAGCTACTACCATTCCATTCTAAGATTGGTTCGTCTGGAAACTGAAAATGAATGATCCTAGTTCTACAATCGACTGAGGCATATCATGAATGTAACCAATCTATGCCTAGAATGACATCAAAGTCTACCATTTCTAACTCTACAAGATCTGCTGAGGTGACTTTCTGGAAACTGTGATAGGGTAATTTCTGTATACCTATCTAGCTATAACTGGGTCACCATTTGGAGTAGAGACTGAGAAGGGTTCTAAGAGAGTTTCTGGACTAACATTGAAGTTGACTTCTATATAGGGAGTTACAAAGGAAAGAGTAGCTCCTGGATCTAACAAAGCATAAACATCTAAGTTAAAGACTCATAACGTACCAGTGACTAGATCAGGAGAATCTTCCTGATCCTGGCGAGTCTGAAAAGCATACAACCTGTTTTGGTGTTGTCCGCCACCTGTACCAGATGAGTTACCCGCTTAGTTGGGCAACTTGCTGGTGCTGCTGAAGTTGTAGACTGAACCCTACTATTATTGCCTCATTGACCCTGTTTAACAGAAGGACAATCTCTCAACCTATGACCAGACTGACCACACCCAAAGCATCCTTCCTTCCTGCAAGACACTCACCCACATGGTTCTTACCACACTTTGGACAAGTTGGGTAGGTTCTGGTGCCTGAAACACTCCCTTGAGACTTAGAGCCTAATGCCCTACCTTTTTTATCTTGTCAAAACCTAAAAGATGGAACACTAGCTGATAAAGGTGTTGGAGCTGAAGACTTTTGCTGAAACTGAGAGCGATTTCCACCACCCAATTTCTGTTGAGAATACTCATAGTTGCCTGTTGTAGCCTTCTTATTATCCTTGGCATGTTCCCTAAGCTTATCTCCCTCAACCTGCTGAGCATGAGTCATGAGTCTAGAGATGTTCATATTTTCCAGCAACATAACATTCCTACACTCTATTTTCACTAAGTCGGATACCCCATATAGAAACTTGTTCATTTGAGCCCTAGAATCGGCAACCATGTGAGGAGCATACATGGAGAGTTGGGTGAACTTGAGTCCATACTCTTGGACTGTCATGTTACCTTGCCTCAAATTCATGAACTCCTGAGCTCTTGCATCTCTCAACTCTCTTGGGAAGAACCCGTCCAGAAAAGTCTCACTAAAGCACTCCCAAGTGATAGGAGCTGCATCCGCACCCCTATTTTCTTTCCGTTGCGTATACTAGATGTGAGCTACATCCTTAAGCTGGTAGTATGCTAACTCTACCCTATCATTACCAGTCACTTGCATCACTCCAAAGATCTTTTTGGCCTTATCTATGAAGTTTTGGGGATCCTCACCAATCTGCGACCCTAAAAACTCAAGCGGATTCATCCTAACAAAATCATGAACCCTGGCTACCACTGATCCACCACTAGCATTTGGAGGAACTGGAACCTGCTAGTTGTTCTGGTTGGTCACACTTTGAGACAAAAAGCTGAATGGCGTTCCGAAGCTCAGCATTCAAAACTTCCTGATTTGGGACTGGAGGAGCTGCATTAGTGTTGCGGGAATTCACATTCCTTTCGTAAGCTCTACGAGGAGGCATGATCTGAAAGCGCATAATGTCGAGTTATAAATGAGGAATTAGATCATACCTTACACACGATAAGAATATCAAGAAAGTGAAGTTTTTCCTAAAACACTTTGTAGCCTCCCTCTCATTAGATGTGGTGCACTTCACACCCATGAAAAGGACTCTACTTAGTCCGACTTTTCAGACATCCTAGGACACTTAAACCTAAAGCTCTGATACCAAGTTTATCACGCCTCGAAGCTACCCGCAAGACGTGGACACGGGACCTAGGATCACGAGTGACCCCAAGCTAACCCTGCTGGCATATCATAAGCATACTAAATAAACTGAAGTAAGAAAAGATTATGCGGAAGCTAAATCATAAGATAAATGAAATGAAATGATGGGGAATACCCATAATTATCTAAATATATATAAAAATTGAGAGTTTAACAACAACTAAAAGGTCAAACTCAAATACTAAAGCTAAAACTAACTATGTCGAAACTAAGCCTCTAACTGACTAGAAGTGTTGAGACATGCCCCAGCTAAATCTAGCAAAATTGAAACTAAAGACTAAAAGCAAAAGAAACAAGTTTGTCATCCTCGGAGAATGAGGACTCACCACTGATACTGCTAAGCTGAAGATCGGGAACTGATTTATGCGTGATCTGGAAATTGAGGACCTGAACCTACATCACGAGAAGATGTAGCGCAGAGTATACATCAATACTTGAAAGGTATTGAGCATGCAAGATAGAGTAAAGTTGAACAATATACATAACTGAACAAAGCATATAACTGAGCAATGACATGCGATAAGCATGATACTATACTGAAAATACTAAACATGAACAAACTGAATGCAATGACCAAGTTTACAACATGTTGAGACTGAAATCTGACTGTAACTAATAACATGGTCAATGCAATAAAATCTTACTGTAAGAGCTACTAATAACTGACATAAAACCACATGAGCTAAATATGGAGTCCGATGTATACGCCCCATCGAGAGGACCCAATATACCCTGCCAGAGGTATAGAGGCATGACTGACGTGATCACTAAAATGTAATTCCCACAGAGGGGACTTATAAACCTACGGGGGCACGTAATTCTGAGACTATTCGGGTACGTTGAACTCTAGTCCACTTGGTTTAAGCCTACTCCCAATTAAAATGTATATAAGCAATATTATGAATGAAATGTTGAAGTATCGGATAACTCAATTACTGACATGCAAACTCTGACAATGCAACAATTATAACTGATAATGTGACATTCGTAAACTGAAGCTTGTATATCTAAAATAACTGACCTAGCATGTGTAATTCATGAACTAAAATAACTACATAGCTAGGGTTCTGAATATCATACAAGAAACTAAGCAACATTATGATAATGGGTGAAAGGAACCCACTAGTGTAATCCCACATACCTGGTGACGAAATTCACAGAGGAATCTTTCGATTTCGGGGCTAGAATTGATGAAAACTCGCTACGTTCTTAAACTAGGACTGCTCGACTTTCTCCTCTATTTTGCTCTAAGATTATCTTGATTTTGGTGAATAATTGATTAGGTTAGGTTCTAATTAGTTTACTAAACTAAAACTGACCAAAGCCACGTAGTTTAGGGGTTAAACGACGTAGTTTAGGGGTCCAACTCATAGGGAAAAGACCAAACGACCCCTAACTTCAAAGCTGTTGGGGCCACCGATAGAACTGACCGACGGACCGTGGATGGACCAATGGTCTGTTCTGGTCAATCGTCGACGGGGTTTTGGGACTAAGTTTTGGGGTCTCGATCCACGGACTTGGACCATGGTCCGTGGTCTGACCTACGGTCTGTGGGTCCGGCCGTGGGTCGTGCCTTAGAATAATTTCTGGATCTTTTCTGGGAGGGGGTTGCAGGTGGTGAACCACAGACCACCAAGACGGACCGTGGGTCACCCTACGGTCCATGGATGGCAATCGTGGGTTGCACCTACAACTTCTGGAAAATCTGTTGGTTTGGTCTGTTTAGGATACGGGATGTTACAGTTTACTCTCTTTAATGTATGCTTTTTCTCATTGTTATGTTGTCTCCTTAAAATTGTATTGATTATTTTTTGTTTGGTATGTATATGATCTCACTTGGACAAAGTTTTCGTCTTTTTAATGTTTTTTCCTTTTTTCCTTCTCATTCGGCTCTTCTAAAAAAAATTGGTGTGAGTTATGACTATTTTCGGCAAGCTTAATTTGAAGAATATGAAACAAAATCTACTCTAAATAAAAGTAATATCTAAAGCTACAAACGATATGTCTATTAACATAGATTTGTTGTCCTTCATGTCCCAAGTCATTGCTGAGCGTTTGAGTTATCTAGGTTAGACTCATTTTTAATTTTTTCATGTTCGAGAATACTCTTTAACATGAGTCTAGAATCCAATATTTTGATCTACTTGTACTTTCATAATGCAACAATTATACATACATATTTCTGAAAAAGTCATAAAGTTGCATTGATGAAGCAACTTGAAGGGCATTGAGAGCAGTAGTTTAATGAAGAATGAATTTCTGAAAGGGTCAATAATATTATTTTGCTGTTGGTTCAAATTTATTTTTCTCTTTCTATAAATTTTGTTAAAGTAACAAAGTAACAATAACGAAAAGTGGTGAACGTTTGACCTCAGACAAATAGATTGTCTCTAAAAATAATTATTTATGTTGTTGTGGTGTACATTTTTTATCGGTCTGAACTTATTTATAACTAATATTGATTATCAAAATCTTTCACATCATTTTTTTCACAAGGAGTTATTCTAACCATAAAATTATCAGATTTAAAAAATTTCATGTACAAAAAGATAGAAAAAGTGATGCTTCATTGCTACATAAAAACATCACTCAATTTTACCAACACAATTATATCATCAAACGTATATTATGATAAATTATGTAAAAGATAAAAATGATTAGATATCAAGATATTTTTAATCATTCATTATATATTTACATTTCTTCAAATATGTGATAATGTCAAATCATTTAATTTCTGTTGAAATGCTCTTAAAACCTACTAAAATTTACTCTCTTTTTATTTCTTATAACAGTCGATTATTGAAAAGATTGTTCAAAAGCCTAAGCAAGATTATTCGCGCAGGTAAATTACCTAGTTCTTTCATAATTAATCTTAGCACATGGTTTCTATTACATTCAGTAAATGTGAATCCACTCCAGAAGTTGACTTACTTTCAGCAATACAGCTTGTACTCTTAACCAAATAACACTCCACAAGTTGACTGACTTTCAGCAATCAAAGTTTTTAAAGTCAAAGAAATGGCAAAGAATTCAGCATTCTCAACTTCAAAAGACACTCCACAAGTTGATTGACTTACTCACTAATACAACTTGTACTCTTAACTAAATAATACTCCAATAGTGTATTAAATACATCTTCTAAAATCATTGTTTTGCATTATCAATTCTTATTTTAGTCACAGTTATGGGCAGAATTTGCAATCTCCTCTTTGCTCTTGCAATTTGCAATCTACTACTACATCAAAGTACTTCACTTGCTAATGTTATTAATATTAACACTGATAAAGCTTCTCTTCTTGCATTGAAATCTCACATTTATTCTGATCCTAACAACATCTTAGCTAACAACTGGTCTTCTTCCGTCCCAGTTTGCAGCTGGATTGGAGTTACTTGTGGCTCCCGTCACCATCGAGTCACTGCTTTAGACATTTCTAGCATGCAACTTCATGGTACCATTCCTCCACACATTGGAAACCTTTCATTTCTCGTCTCCCTCGACATCAGTGACAACACTTTCCATGGGGGTTTGCCGGAAGAGTTTGCTCATTTACGAAGGTTGAAAGTCATTAGTGTCGCAAGCAATAACTTCACTGGAGCCATTCCACCATTTTTAAGTTTGTTACCGAACCTACGCTTTCTGTACCTCTGGAGCAACCAATTTTCAGGGAAAATTCCATCTTCCCTTTCCAATCTAACAAAGTTGGAAGTGTTGAGCTTGCGGAATAATTTTCTCGAAGGAGAGATCCCTCGAGAAATCGGTGATCTTCGCTACCTGACTTTTTTAGACCTTCAAGATAATCAGCTTACTGGCTCTATACCAACATCAATCTTCAACATTACGACGATGCAAAATATTGGTCTTAGCAATAACAATCTTACTGGTAAGCTTCCAACAACTATTTGCGATCATCTTCCACACTTAGAAGGACTTTACATCTCAAAAAACTACCTAAGTGGTGTTATTCCACCAACCCTGGAGAAATGCAGAAATCTTCAAGTCTTGTCATTGTCGCTGAATGAGTTTACTGGAACTGTACCAAGAGAGCTAGCCAACTTAACAGCTCTTACAAGATTATATATTGCAACTCTGCATTTGGAAGGTACACAAATGAAAATTTTCATTCTTTTCTCTCTTTCATGAAACTAGTAACTCATATATTTTCCTTAATTGACAGGAGAGATACCAGCGGAGCTAGGTAATCTTGAGAAACTACAGAGGCTGATATTAGCCGAGAACGGGTTCACTGGTTCTGTCCCTGCAAGCATTTTTAACATGTCAGCACTGAAGATCCTAGAACTTTCAATAAACAATCTCTCAGGTACTCTACCTTCAGATTTAGGTCGCGGAATGCCCAATCTAGAAGGACTTTACTGTGCAGCTACTAATCTAACTGGTTTTATCTCTGATTCAATCTCAAATTCTTCGAAACTCAGAGAAATTGATCTCACAGTCAACAGTTTCACAGGTCCTATTCCCGAATCACTTGGTAACTTAGAATACCTCGAGATTCTAGGCTTGCAAACTAATAATTTTTTCAGTGATTCAAAAATGAGCTTTCTTACATCATTGTCAAACTGTAGGAATCTTAGAGTACTCTGGATTGGTGATAATCCGTTGGATGGTGTTTTGCCTCCATCTGTTGGTAATTTATCCAAATCTCTAGATTCTTTTGATGGAAATGGTTGTAAACTTAAGGGTGCCATTCCTCAAGAAATCGGTAATCTTACTGGAATGACATCAATGAGTCTATATAACAATGAGTTGATAGGACACATTCCAGACACTGTCCATGGCATGCTGAGCCTTCAAGAACTTTATTTATTAAGCAATAAGATAGAAGGAACCATACCAGATGTTATATGCAGTTTAAAGAATCTTGGTGCATTAGACTTGTCAGAAAATCATTTTTCTGGTTCAGTGCCCTCATGCTTAGGGAATGTTACTAGTTTGAGGAAACTTCATCTAGCTAACAATAACCTGGATTCTAGATTACCTTCAAGCTTGGGGAGCCTTCAAGATCTCATAGAATTCGATATTTCGTCCAATTTATTGAGTGGGGAAATTCCACTGGAGAGCGGAAACTTAAAGGCTGCAACACTCATTGATTTGTCAAGGAATTATTTTTCTGGTAAGATTCCTAGTACTCTAGGTGGTCTAGATAAATTGATTAATCTTTCTCTAGCACATAATAGATTAGAGGGGCCTATTCCTGAATCATTTGGCAAAATGTTGTCCTTGGAATACTTGGATTTGTCCTATAACAATCTTAGTGGTCAAATTCCAAAGTCATTAGAAGCTCTTGTGTACCTCAAAAACATGAATTTCTCATTCAATAAACTCAGTGGAGAGATTCCCACCGGTGGTCCTTTTGCGAATGCCACAGGTCAATCTTTCATGTCCAATGATGCACTCTGTGGTGACTCCCGGTTTAACATTAAACCATGCCTGACCAAATCGGAAAAGAAGTCAAGAAGAAAAAAAGTGCTTATAGGTTTATATATGATGTTAGGGATTGGATCACTCCTTGCATTGGCTGTTGGATATGTGGTGTTAAGATCGAGAAAGACAAAGAAAAATGCAAGTCAAGAAGATGTAACTCTGGTAAAAGGGCACGGAAGAATTTCCTATTATGAACTTGAACAAGCAACAGAAGGATTCAACGAAAGCAACTTGCTTGGTAATGGAAGTTTCAGCATGGTCTACAAAGGGATACTTAAGGATGGTACCCTTTTAGCAGCAAAGGTCTTCAATGTGCAGTTGGAGGGTGCATTCAAAAGTTTTGACACAGAATGTGAGATACTTCGGAACCTTCGCCACAGAAATTTGACCAAAGTCATCACCAGCTGCTCCAACCTTGATTTCAAATCCCTAGTGTTGGAATACATGCCCAACGGGACCCTTGGTAAATGGTTATACTCTCATAACTTGTTCTTGAACTTACTGCAGAGACTTGATATAACGATAGATGTTGCGTCTGCAATAGACTATCTCCACAATGGTTATTCAACACCAGTGGTGCATTGTGACCTGAAGCCAAACAATGTCTTGATAGATCAAGAAATGGTTGCTCATGTAAGTGATTTTGGCATTGCAAAAATGTTAGGTACAGGGGAGGCTTTTGTCCAAACAAGGACAATTGCAACCATTGGTTATATTGCTCCAGGTATATTATAGCTTTTTTTAGAGTTTTCATATTGTTTAAATACTCAAAACAACTCTTTCCCCTAGATATAGATCGATATTCATAGTTTTGGCATATTCCATTTTAACTAAGAAGATTTTATGATAATTTTTTACCATGATTGCAGAGTATGGACAGGATGGAATAGTATCCACGAGTTGTGATGTTTATAGTTTTGGCATTCTAATGATGGAGACGTTTACAAGAATTAGACCAACTGATGAAACTTTTACCGGAGACTTGACCATACAACGTTGGGTTAGTGATTCAATCCCAAGTGGAATTCATAAGGTGGTGGATTCTAATTTGATACAACCAGGGGATGAACAAATCGATGCAAAGATGCAATGTTTGTTATCAATCATGGAATTAGCTTTGAGCTGCACACTAGTGACCCCTGATGCAAGAATTAGCATGGAAGATGCTCTTTCAACACTGAAAAAGATTAGGTTCCAGCTTGTCAGTAGTCTGCACTAGGTGGAATCGGACCCCTGTGTTCTTGTATGTTATTTGATTACCTATGTCGGTTAGGTTAAGATTTCAATTCTGCACAAGTAGTTTTAAGTGTTGTAATCACTGTTGTAGGAAGCAGCTTGTTTCTTGATATATGTAAATTTGATGATATATAAAAGTTGAAAATGGTAGTCTACTCAAGTATCCTTTCATGAAACTTTAGATGCATTATTTTGGAATTCGTTAGATACTTTGGTTGTGAGTGTGAGAATATTCTGACACATTTAGTTTGGCGATTCCGGTACAAGTCTGGTTGATCCTGAAATAAATAAATACTACTTCTGTTTGGGAGATTTGTAATATTTGACAGCCGCGGTGGGTAGCTGAATGTTGTGAAATTTATTGATTTGGGTTGTTGTATATCTGATCCCTGCTTCTTTTCTCCTTCAAATTCTGCAAAGTTTGTTGGATTGCTTTAATTTAAAGTTTTATTCTAGTTGAATCGACATTTTGAGTTAGTTCATTCGGATATTTGTGGACCATGTCTTGTTGTTTCTTAAGTTAGGGATAGGTTATTAATCACTTTTGTGGATGGTTTCATGATCTTGGTGCTTGAGAAAAAGCTCATGATTTGTGAGCTTGCAACTCTTCAAAACTCAAGGAAGAATCCCTTGTTCTTATGGCAACTGAGATGTCACGGTACTCGGGGCCCAGTCCTCTTAAAATCTTAACAATAAGTTCATCATCTGTTACTGGTGAGTGGTGATCCAACAACTTTGAGCGCATCAGAGAGAGAGCGAATCCATTTTTAGGATTCGAACACAGAATCTCTAGTTAAAAGATTAAACAATTTTATTTGTTAGTTACGTGGAGAAAAAGATCATGTTAATTGTTGGTAAAGCCACGACAAGTCTTGATAAGATAAAGTTCAAAGGTGAAGGACAGAAAATTATGTTAAAACAATTTAACAACCAAACTTTTTAAAAAGTTTAACTAGTTGTTCTATCAAACTAATTAAATTGACCCCATTGACTAAAAGACATTCCAATATAAAAACAGTAGATTGGTACACAATAAATTTGATATCATTAAATAGAACTTTCTAAGATCATTGCTTTGTATTATCAAATACTCTTGTCATAGTTATGGCAAGAACTTGCAATCTTCTCTTTGCTCTTGCAATTTTCATTATGCTTCATCGCCATACTTCTTCACTTGCTACTATTAGCACTGATAAAGCCGCTCTTCTTTCGTTGAAATCTCAGATTTCCTTTGATCCTAACAACATCCTAGCAAGAAACTGGTCTTCTTCCAGCCCAGTTTGCAGCTGGATTGGAATCACTTGCAGCTCCCGCCACCACCGAGTCACTGCTTTAAACATATCTAGCATGCAACTTCATGGTACCATTTCTCCACACCTTGGAAACCTCTCATTTCTTGTTTCCCTCAACATAAGTTACAATGCTTTCTATGGAGATTTACCAGTAGAGTTGGCTCATTTGCAGAGGCTGAAATTTATAAGTGCCACAAGTAATAACTTCACCGGAGCCATTCTATCATCTTTAAGTTTGTTACCGAATCTACGCTTTGCGTACCTTTCGATGAATCAATTTTCAGGAGAAGTTCCTTCTTTCATTTCCAACATTACAAAGCTGGAAGTGTTGAGTATGCAAAATAATTTTCTAAAAGGAGAGATCCCTCGGGAACTCGGTGATCTTTGCTATCTGACCTATTTAGATCTGCAATTTAATGAACTTAGTGGCTCTATACCAGCATCAATCTTCAACATTACAACTATGAAAAACATTGGTCTTACCTATAACAATCTTACTGGTCAGCTTCCAACAACTATATGTGACCATCTTCCAAATTTGAAAGGGCTTTACCTCTCAAGAAACTACCTCGGTGGTGTGATTCCACCAAACTTAGAAAAATGCAGAAAGCTTCAATTTTTGTCATTGACTTACAATGAGTTTACTGGAACTGTACCAAGAGAGCTAGCCAACTTAACAGCTCTTACAAAATTATATGTCGGAGGTCTTCATTTGGAAGGTAATACAATATTTTCTTACAAGAAAAATGAAAATGTTCTTCTGCAGAAGTGGTAACTCATATATTTCCCTAAATTAATGACAGGAGAGATACCAGTGGAGCTCGGTAATCTGAAGAAACTACAAGCACTAGGATTATCAGGGAGTCGGTTTAGTGGTTCTGTCCCTGCAAACATTTTCAACATGTCATCACTGCAGGCCCTAGATATTGCACAAAACAAACTTTCAGGTACTCTACCTTCAGATTTAGGTTGTGCAATGCCCAACCTAGAAAAATTCCTTTGTGGAGGAAATCATCTTAGTGGTTTTATCTCTCCTACTATCTCAAATTCTTCAAGACTCAGAATACTTGAGCTCTCAGGCAATAGTTTCACAGGTTCGATTCCGGGATCACTTGGTAAGTTAGAGTACCTTGAGTTTCTGAGCTTGTGGGGGAATAATTTTGTCGGCGATTCAACATTGAGCTTCCTCACATCATTGACAAAGTGTAGGAAGCTAAGATCACTCTGGTTTGATAGAAATCCATTGGATGGTGTCTTACCTGCATCAGTTGGTAATTTCTCAAACTCACTGCAAACTTTTGGAGGAGATGGTTGTAAATTGAAGGGCACCATTCCTCGAGAAATTGGTAATCTTACAGGAGTGACAAGGATAGATCTGCAATACAACGAGTTGACCGGACATATTCCAAATACTGTCCAAGGAATGTTGAGCCTTCAAGAACTTTACCTACAAAGCAACAAGATAGAAGGAACCATACCAGATGTTATGTGCAGTTTGAAGAATCTTGGTGCGTTAGACTTGTCAAGAAATCGGTTTTCTGGTTCAGTGCCACCATGCTTAGGGAATGTTGCTAGTTTGAGGACACTTTATCTAGCTGTTAATAGGCTGAATTCTAGATTACCTGCAAGCTTGGGGGGCCTTCGTGATCTCATAGAATTCAATATTTCATCAAATTTATTGAGTGGAGAAATTCCCTTTGAGATTGGAAACTTAAAGGCTGCAACACTCATTGATCTATCAAAAAATGATTTTTCTGGTAAGATTCCTAGCACTCTAGGGGGTCTAGATAAATTGATTAATCTTTCTTTGGCACATAATAGATTAGAGGGGCCTATTCCAGATTCATTTGGCAAAATGTTAGCTTTAGAATTCTTGGATTTGTGCTATAACTATCTTAGTGGTCAAATTCCGAAGTCATTAGAAGCTCTTGTGTATCTCAAATACATGAATTTCTCATTCAATAAACTCAGTGGAGAAATTCTCACTGGTGGTCCTTTTGCTAACATCACCAGCCAGTCCTTCCTATTCAATGATGCATTATGTGGTGACTCTCGGTTAATCGTGAAACCATGCCTAACCAAATCTTCAGAGAAGTTGAGAAGAAAAATGGTGCTCACAAGTTTATATATTCTATTAGGATAGGATCACTCCTCGCGTTGACTGTTGGATATGCGGTGTTAAGATTGAGAAAGACAAAGAAAAATGCAAGTCAAGTAGATGTGTCTTTGGTAAAAGAGCATGAAAGAATTTCCTATTATGAACTTGAACAGGCAACTGAAGGATTCAATGAAAGCAACTTGCTTGGTAGTGGGGGTTTCAGCGCGGTCTACAAAGGGATACTTAAGGATGGTACTCTTTTGGCAGCAAAGGTATTCAATGTACAATTGGAGGGTGCATTCAAAAGTTTTGACATGGAATGTGAGATACTCCGGAACCTTCGCCACAGAAATCTAACCAAAGTCATCACCAGCTGCTCCAACCTTGATTTCAAAGCCCTAGTGCTGGAATACATGCCCAATGGGACACTCAATAAATGGTTATACTCCCACAACTTGTTCTTGAATTTATTGCAGAGATTAGATATAATGATCGATGTTGCATCAGCAATGGAGTATCTCCACAATGGCTATTCAACACCTGTGGTGCATTGTGACTTGAAGCCAAGCAATGTCATGCTAGATCAAGATATGGTTGGCCATGTCAGTGATTTTGGCATTGCAAAATTGCTAGGTGCAGGGGAGGCTTCTTTTGTTCAAACAAGGACAATTGCAACTATTGGATATATCGCTCCAGGTATATAATCAAAATGCTTTAGAGTTCTCTCATATCATTTAAATACTCAAAATAATTCTTGCCCCTAGATGTATATCAATACTCTCAAGGAAATTTTTATGATATTTTTCGATCATGTGCAGAGTATGGACAAGATGGAATAGTATTCACGAGTTGTGATGTTTATAGTTTTGGCATACTAATGATGGAGACGTTCACAAGAAGAAGACCAAGTGATGAAATATTTACAGGAGAAATGAGCATACAACGTTGGGTTAGTGATTCCTTTCCAAGTGGAATTCATTAGGTGGTGGATTCAAATTTGGTAACGCCAGGGGAAGAACAGATCGACTTAAAGATGCAATGTTTGTTATCTATCATGGAATTAGCTTTGAGATGCACTTTAGATAAACCTGATGCAAGAATTAGCATGAAAGATGCTCTTTCGACACTTAAAAAGATTAGGCTCCAACTTGTCATTAGTTGCTACTAGGTGGAATATAGTTGTAGTATAGCCTCTTGTATGTTGCTTGATTACATATGTTGGTCGTGTTAAGATTAGTTCAACACAAGTACTTTAGTTTTTTCAATGAGAATATTAGTAACTATTGTTGACCACTTCAATCACCTCAGAAGACATGATTGAAAAACTTATTTTTGTTTGAACAAGAAGTTAAAGGAAGAAATAAAAGTTGGAATAAACTATAACTGCTTTCAGGAGTCTTCCATTATAAAAAGGAAAGTGAAAAGGAACAATAATATCCCCTTTTATGCAAAAAAGCAAAGCAATCTTGAAAGAAAAAGATTCACTTTCCAAAGGCAGATTTCACACAGCAAGGTCAAGCCAGATAATCAAAGAATAAAGAGACTTTATAATGGTTAGTTGCCTCCACACAACAACTAATTAATAGATTTATTGACTTAAAAACTTAGGAAGACTTGCATTTTCTGTTCCATCACAGATCAGTAAAGTTGAGTCATTCTGTTCACTCACAATTTTCAATCCTCAGTTTCATTTTTGCTCTTTTCAGTTTGGACAGTTCACTAATTTTTTTGTCTGTTATAGAAAAAAAGTAGCATCTTCTTTATACGGAAACTAGTTAGTTTTTACACACCAATCCATGTAAATTATAGCAAAAGATAGGGGCAAAATGGGAGAAAAAGATCTCTCTCGATCTCGATATAAATATAGCAGATACAAGGTGTTGATCAGTATAGAGAAATAACAAGCTACATGTATGAGTTAGTTAGTTAGTTAGTTAAAAGGGTCCAGATCCCAAGAATCAGTTAGTAAGTTTGTTAGAGTCATAAGTGTGTGTATATACACTTCAGTAGCTGATGCATTATTCATTCACGTGTAAAACAATGTAAAGGCAACTTGATGTGAGCTCAATAATATCTTCTCTTCCTCTCTTCTTCTCAACTCTTTCTCCAATTACTTAAGATCTTAATCTCCATTAATGGAGTTATCATGGTATCAGAGCTACTGATCGTAGGGTAGCGTTTGTGAGTATTACTTGACCACTGTATACTCAGAGTTTATCACTAATCAAGTGAGACTCAAAAGGAAGTATCAAAGGTTCGACTAAGTTGAAATTCAACTGCAATTCATATCTCTGCACATGGCGATTGACAGTGCAAGTGAAGGTACAAATAGTGGTGCTATTCCAGTGACTACATTTCCAATCATAGATCACAATCATCCTCTGTTTCTACAACATACAGATACTCCAGGTAGCTCTTTAATTTCTCTGCAATTAACTGGTTCTGAGAATTATGCACTGTGGAGTAGATCGTTTAGAATTGGACTTGTAGGTCGTAGCAAGTTAGGATTTGTGGATGGTAGATTTCCTAAATCTATGTTTGAACCAGTGTTACATGATCAGTGGGAGAAGTGTAATGCTGTAGTGTTGTCCTGGATCATGAATGTTGTTAGACCAGGATTACTAAGTTCAGTGGTGTATGCTTCTGATGCAAGGAAAGTCTGGCTAGATCTTAGGGAAAGATTTGATACTGTGAATGGCTCTAGGATCTTTCACATTCATAGAGAAATTCATACTCTCACACAAGGAACAATGTCCATTGCTGACTATTTCTCCAAACTGAGAGATCTCTGGGATGAATATGATGCCATTATGCCCTGTCCATCATGTCCTTGTGCAGAATCAAGGAAATTTAGTGAACATTGTGACTATCAGAGATTACTTCAATTTCTGATGGGTCTAAATGAGTCTTATTCCCCACCTAGAAGTCAAATTCTCATGATGAGTCCTATTCCTACATTGAACAAAGCCTATGCTCTTCTTATGGATCAAGAGTCTCAAAGGAACCTAGTGCACTCCACTTCACCTGGTTCAGGAACTGGTCTGATTGAAGGTGCAGCTATGTACAGTCATAGGAACACCTATCATACAGGATCAAGTAGTAACGCTGGTCCTAGTCGAGTCTATAGTGGTGGTGCAAGCTCATCTGGAAGTTACAAACCTAGGCAGAATGTGTTAATATGTTCTCACTGTGGATGCAAAGGTCACTCCAAAGAGCAATGCTACAAAATTGTTGGCTATCCCACAGATTTTAAGTCAAAGAGAAAAGGCTCAACTCCAAGTGTTTCTGCCAACCAGGTTGAGACTTCTTCGGGGAGCAATCACAGGACCAGTCCTCCTCAAGTGCAGCAATCTGCAGCTTTCTTCACTCAGGAACAATACCAACAGATCCTTCAACTGCTCTCAAAAACTGATGGTGACAAATCAGTGGAGTCCCCTGCAAAAGTGGCTTCTGTAGATGCAGGTAATTCTCCTTCTGCATCTTTGTGTTCCTATGGTCCAGGTGAATGGATTATAGATACTGGAGCTACTCACCATATCACCTCTTCTCTAGCTTCCCTTGCTACTAACAATGCAGCTCCAGGTGATTCAACTAGTAAAGTGCACCTACCTAATGGTAACATAGTTGCAGTGTCTCACATTGGTAGCACATGTATCTTGGCTAACCAAACCATATCCAATGTGCTGTACTTACCTGACTTTCAAGTTAACTTAGTGTCAGTCTCCAAGATCACTAAGGAACTCAAGTGCATGGTGGCACTCTTTCCTGACTTTTATGTTTTTCAGGATCTCTACACTGGTCAGGTGAAGGGGATTGGTAAGGAAGATCATGGACTCTACATACTAACAAGAGGACCTAATCAAGCTCCAAGGAAGCTGGTCAATAGTAGTATGAGTTCTAGGAGTCATAGTCATAGCACCTCTGTTGCTAAGTCCATTGTTTTACCTTCTTTACATTGTGAGTCAGCTGATGTATGGCACAAAAGGTTAGGACATACACCCATTGATATAATAAAGAGACACAAATCTCTTAGTGCATTAACTAGCAAGGATAATTCACATTGTACAGTGTGCCCTCTAGCTAAGCACACTAAACTCCCTTTTTTCCTAAGTACTACTGTGTCTAAAGGTGTATTTGAATTGTTGCATTGTGATATATGGGGACCATACAAAGTGCCCACCTACAATGGAAAAAGGTTCTTTGTTACAGTTGTGGATGATTACAGCAGATATACTTGGGTGTTTTTACTTGCTTCCAAAGCTTATACTATAGTGGTCCTAAGGAAATTTCTTACACAGGTTAAAAATGTATTCTCCACCACTGTTAAAACCTTGAGAACAGATAATGGATGTGAATTTTTTAGTCATGTTTTTCAAAGCATGCTAGGAGACCTTGGCATTGTCCATCAAACAACTTGTGTGTACACACCACAACAAAATGGTGTTGCTGAAAGAAAACACAGAACCATCTTAAATGTGGCAAGGTCTATAAGGTTTCAAGCCTCTATTCCACTTCAGTACTAGGGTGAATGTGTTTCCACTTCTGTATACATATTGAACAGGCTGCCTTCAAGAGTTCTTGGTTTCCAATCCCCGTTTGAAAGGTTGTACATGCATCCTCCTTCTTTGTCTCATCTGAGGGTATTTGGTTGTCTATGTTATGCAGCCTGTCCTAAAGTGTTGGACAAATTTTCACCTAGGGCAATTCCTGCAATTCTTATGGGATATTCCTCCACACAAAAAGGGTATATTTTGTATGATCTTCATGGTCATGATTTCTTTGTTAGCCGCAATGTTGTGTTCCATGAACATTTATTTCCCTTTAAGCATGCTCAAGAAGCATCAATCCTATGTTTCCAGTACTGGATTTAGTGCCAAGAGATGACAGTCCCACTGTCATACCAGGTGCTAATACTTCACCTACACAGCAGGTTTCTGAGGTGTCTGACTTATTGCCTGAAGGTACAACTGGTTCTCCTATTCTTGTGCCTACAGCTCCCCTTCCACCTTCTGTTTTGCCAGCTGAATCCACTAGAAGATCCACCAGGGCCAGCAGACCTCCCATTTGGTTGCAGGGCTTTGTTACTCAGCCACGAGGCAACACTTGTCTCTATCCCTTAGCTGATCAGCTCACATATTCTAAGTTGTCCAAATCTTATCAGCTAGTGTTAAAAGCATATTCAGCTGTCTGTGAGCCTGTGTCTTACAATGAAGCTGCTTCTGATCCTGCTTGGGTAAAAGCAATGCAGTTAGAAATTGATGCCTTACAAAACAACAAGACATGGAGTATTGTTGATCTTCCGCCTGGTAAAAAGCCAATTGGTTGTCGGTGGATTTATAAGGTTAAATACTTGTCATCTGGAGAGGTGGAAAGGTTCAAGGCCAGACTAGTAGCCAAGGGGTTTAGCCAAAGAGAGGGCCTTGACTATGGAGAAACATTTAGCCCAGTCGCTAAGATGGTTACAGTCAGATCAATTGTCGCACTAGCTGCCTCTAAAGGCTGGCACATCTTTCAAATGGATGTTCACAATGCCTTTCTCAATGGAGATCTTCTTGAGGAGGTCTACATGGACATTCCTTGTGGTTTTTCCAGACAGGGGGAGAGTCATAAGGTCTGTAAATTACACAAGTCTTTGTATGGGCTCAAACAAGCACCAAGGCAGTGGAATGTGAAACTAACAGAGGCTCTGGTAACTATGGGGTTCAAGCAAAGTCATTATGATTATTCCTTGTTTACAAAATTGGCTGGGAGTGATATTGTGGTAATACTAGTCTATGTAGATGACTTATTGATCACTGGAAACAATCACCAGCTGCTGTGTGACACTAGACTAGAAATTCAAAAAAGTTCAAGATGAAAGATTTGGGGGAATTGAAGTTCTTTCTTGGCATTGAATTCTCTAGGTCCAACAAGGGGATAATAATGTCGCAAAGGAAGTATGCCTTAGAGTTGATATCTGAATCTGGCCTAGGGGGAGCAAAACCAGCTTGCACACCATTGGAGATTAATCAAAAGCTCACATCAGTCAAATATGATGAGCACATTAACAATGGACATGCTAGGGATGATGACATTCTAACTGATATTACACAGTACCAAAGACTAGTAGGAAGGCTTTTATATCTTACCATGACAAGACCTGATATTGCATTCTCAGTACAGGTCTTAAGTCAGTTTATGCATTGCCCTAA